GAAATCAAACTGTTTAAGCTTCAAATTTTATCTTACGAAGTGTTAGAGAATCATAATGTACGCCTACTCGCTTCGTGAAAATTATGGACAATAATATGGCAAACCGGTGTAGGTGCATCATTTCTTGATATCAAGCGTTTGTTCACAGGGTTAGGTACTAAAGAAAATACAAATTTTATTAAATAAAAAATTTGCATTTGTACTCTATAGGAGCAGTTGTTTGGGCTTATTCATAAAAATCTAATTGATTTAACAACCTCTAAGGACAGTTCCATAAAAATTGGGTGATTTAAATATGAAAATGTATGGTGTTTTCAAAGCAAAACATCGATGCACTATCGATTGTGAAACATACATACATGTTTGCATTTTTCTCTAATAACTGTATTTGGTAAAAATATATTAAAAAGCGGCTGATGTAAGCCACAGTTAGTGTTAGAAGCTAAATTTTAAGAAAAGTGACCTCCAAGATGTGTTTTAAAATACACCTACAAAATAAGTTCTAACCATTTTTTTGTTAATTAATTTTAGTATTTTTTTTTATCAAAATATAGTTAGTTTTTTAACAAAAACCGTACGAATCCTAGTTTAAACTTTCCAAATTTTTGCGTACATATATAGTTTTTTAGCCCATTCAAGTGTAAGATTTAAATGGCTTATATTAGCGTTGATTTTTTAGATTTTTTTTGTCGCATTTGTTTCCATAACGAATAAACACAATTTATTTTTATACGGACGAAAACCGTAATATCTTCGGCAGATAAACAAATTCCCAATACTCAACGGTCCTTTTTGGCTATTTGTAACTTGCACTATATTCGAACCAAAGATGGATTCTGAAATATAGCCAAGATTTTATATTTAACGGTACATGAGAGAAAAACTATCGAATGTGGCGTGAAAAACATCGATGTTGGAGAAAATTTGAAAACATCGATACTACCGATCTCCCCTTACAGAAATTTCTCACTCGTTTGCCTTTATTTTTAGAACACGAATACGAAAAGAGAAAGAGGCAATCAACAGGAGAAAGTATTTGACCGAAATGAAAAGGAACCCTTAAATATGTAAAGCTCAAGAACTTCCATTTTATAACCAAATTTGACAAAAGATGACGAAAAATCGTTCAAAAATACATAAAATTTATATCTAATATTTTTTGGACGAGCTTTGTTTTTATTTTTAACCGATTTCAAAGAAAAGAGAACGTTATCGATTCGTCGGAATATTTTTATTTTTATGTACGTTACCACATAATTTTGAACCACATTAACCGGTTTCTATAATTCTATTTCTAAAGGAAAGGTGGTATCATGCTAATGTCGTTTAGATCCGATCATTGAATCATGCAGAAATTAACGGTACTCTTTATATGAGAATTGAAGTTGGTTTTTTTTTTTTTAATTACTTGTTATAATGAACTGCTTAGTTTAGTTTTTGCTTGTTGCTGAGGGAGCATTAATATCTACAATGTTAACTAGTGGTTGCAGTGAGATGAGATAAGTTGAGATAAAGTAAGGTGAGCAAAATGAGTGGATAATAAACGTCTTAATCTTCAGTTTTATATTTACCCTTGGCTCTTTACCTTCACCTTCACCTCTATCTCCATTTTTTGTCATCATATTTGCCTTTCTTTTTGTCTTTATCATCGTCTTCGTATTTTTCCCTGATTATGGCTTTGTTTGAATCCTGACCCCATTCTTTATCTTATCTTTAATCTTAATCTTACTCATCTTCATCTCACTCTTCATTTTCCTCTTCATATATATCTTCCTCACCACCTTCGTCTTCTCCTTAATCTCAATCTTGATCTTTGTCAATATTTTTATACCCGGTGATAATGGACGATTCTTTCATGCTGGGCGCTATCATCAGGCAGAGCTAGCATTAAGGAAGCAGTCGATGTCTGTTAAAGTGCTCGACTTGGCAGGGGAATTTTCCCCGGTCAGACTCATTTGGGTACCAGGCCATATTGATATTGCAGAGAATCTCGTTGTGGGGCAAGAAAGGTACCCTCAAATTGTACTTACTGGGTAAAGAGTGGGAGTACTTTATCTTTGTAAGTTTATTGGGAGGATACTAAAGTACTGGTTTTCACGCGATGGGGCTAAATATCACACCGAATCGTCACTGTTTACAGAACAATGAGGTGGAATCAAAACTTTTTCTGCCTAGACTTCGTGAGGCTGCGAAAAATATTTACTTAGTACAAAATAAGTTGTTCCTTGCAAAAATTCATTATTTTTATCTTACTTATCTTATCTCTTATTGACACTGTTATGAAGTTATAATAAGGTTCAAAATTGTTTGATTCATCTTTTTTTTGCTTTATTTTTTGCCCATTTAGCCTTTTCTCTGAAAAGGTTTTGGCAACACTGCCAACCACGCCCACCTTCCATACAATGGCAATTTAAAAAATACGAAAAATGTGATAAATCAATAAATACTGAAACCAATTCACACAAAATCGATATTTGCACTAACATCTCATTAATAGATAAGACTTTTATAAATTTCTGGCTACATAAGCGTAAAACTAAGTTCACTTCCCATTTGAGGGTAAATTTCCGAAATACGAAAACTCCGATATTTCAATAACTAAGGAAGTAAATTTAATTCAAGTTAATATATGGCTGACTTCCAAAACGTATCAATACAATGTTTGGACACTGTTATACTGCGGTATTCAAACTGTTTGTATATGCAGAGTTGCGACACATTGCAACCATATACATTGCATATTTTAAATATTCAATATAGCAATGAACAATTTTTCTGAATTTTCCATTTCTAAAACACCAATGCTAACCAATAACAAACGAAGCATCAACTTTGTTTCTGATGCGCTGATTGCTCGAGCGATGCGTTTCGATAACTTTTCGGCTGCGTTTTGGAACAGTATACATTGTCAATATTTTGTAGTTCGGCGTTATGGAACCTTATACTTTGTACGTATGCAAAGCAATTGACGTTTTGGAAGTCAGCCAATTATAGTGAAATTCGAAATGCACTACCACTAAGTGCATAGTGACAGTGAACACCATTTTTCACTACCACTAACCATAATGTGTGACACCGCCCACTTACGAACACATAATTGAGTGTATATGACCAAATCTCACGAGTTGTTAAATTTTTCGACAAAAACATATTTTGGTGGAAATTGGTAATACACCTATTTTAGAAAATTCATGATCTGCAGTTTTGTACATAGAACAGGATTCTAACGCGACATTGTATTTAAATAAAAACTGAAAAAGATGTACTAAACAAGTAAAGAAGTATAAGCTCGTCCGAAACCGAACTTTATATACTCGGTGCAGGTATCAAATACCTTTGCACGATACTTAGGACTGTTTTCTCGATTTCAAACGTTTTCGATAATATGTTGAGTTAGGCAGTTTGCTAGAAATCGATGAAGTGGTTACCGAGATACACTGTTGTAGTCATAAAGTGGGCCCAATTCCTTAAAGTCTATAGCAGTCTTATTTATTGTTAAGAGATTGTTGTAACTTTTAACTTGGAGTAATTTAGCGCCTTTACTTAGTTACTGAAATATCGGAGTTTTTATATTTCTGAGACTTACCGTTATACGGGAAGCGGGTGTAATTTTAGTCTGATTTGAATAATTTTTCACAAATTTCTTTTCCGTACCAAGGTTATTAAGTGTACCGAGTTTGGTAGAAATTGATAAATCGGTTACCGAGACACACATTTGTGGTCATAAGTGGGCGGCCCATAATTATATAATTATAATAATATAATTTTCTGCTAAGTGGTGATTGCAACCATCGATTTTAAGTGAATTTTCCTTAGCAGTTGCTGATTTATGGCAGTTTTCGAGTTTTTGTGGTTATTGCCCGATTTCAAAGATTTTGAACAGTTTTCTTAGCTAGACCCTGGGCAAGTCACGCACCGGGTTTGGTAAGGATTGGTTAAGCGGCTACTGAGATACAGCATTTCATTATTTAGTATGATTTTTTTGCAACTTTTTGGATACATTAGAATGCTGATAACATATTAAGCAGTAATATAATGAAAAACTCATAAGAAATGCATTACATTATTTATCACGCGTATAACACATTACTACTTTTCCCACTGGGTATACCCGTATTTGCGTATGTAACGTATACGCCCCGTACTACCATACACTGTCACTATCGCGTTTAAGCTGATAAAACTTTGCGTGACATTTATAACTTTGCCAGCGAAGCACAAGACGTAAAAGGTATGCCACAATTAACCAGGGACCGAAAATAATCGTTATCATGAAGGATTTTTATTTAAAAATCATTTTTAATCGTTATTTTATGATTTTTATATTTTCGATCAAAAATAATCGTTATTTTATGATTTTTATTTTTTCGATCATTTTTAATCGTTACTTTATGATTTTTATATTTTCGATCAAAAATAATTGTTATTTTATGATTTTTATTTTTTCGATAATTTTTAATCGTTACTTTACGATTTTTATTTTTTTGATCATTTTTAATCGGTATACTATGATTTTTATTTTTTCGATCATTTTTAATCGTTACTTTATGATTTTTATTTTTTTGATCATTTTTAATCGTAATCGATCGAAAAAAATAAAAATCACAAAATAACGTTTAAAAATGATCGAAAAAGTAAAAATCATAAAATAACGATTAAAAATGATCAAAAAAATAAAAATCATAAAGTAACGATCAAAAATGATCGAAAAAAAACATAACGATTAAATTTTTATTTTTATTATAAAAATCATAACGGTTACGGTCCCTGCAATTGACGCCAAGAAAACAATTTCTTACTGCTTTTTTACTCGTAAAAATTTCTGTGGATTTTATATTTTTAGTTTTAAAAATATCAACAATGTAATTAATTTTATGTTTTCGCCTGAAAATTCGAATTCGGACGAAACACAATAAATATTAAACCTTATTCTATGATTTTTATTTTTTCGCTCAACGAAATTAGTTATTGAGTGATTTTTATTTTTTATTAATAGTAAATGTTCTATGAATTTTATTTTTTGGCGCAGAGATATTAATTATTATTTAGTTTTATTTTTCCACTTAAAAGTAATGACTACACTGTGCAACACATTTTTCTAACGGAAAAACTTTCAACTCAGTTCGATTGTACTAAAAGGGTTTTGCAAAGTTAGCTAGCTTTTAAAAGATATTGGCGTTCAAAATTTGGACCTTGCATTTAAAAAAAAAAAATCCAGTAAATCGCTTACGTCGCGCTCTATTACTTCCCCTACTCGTTCTACATACGTCTTCATACTCCACCATAAAATTTTCGCTAATATTGCCTCAGGAGATTGCTTTCCTCTATACCTGATCAAATGAAGTTTATTAAAAGGTTGTTTGAAGAAGGGAAAAAAAAAACAATTTCATAGGTGCGAGAGGTATATAAAGCTCGGTTTCGCCAGAGCTTAGACATCGTTACTGGTTAGTTTTAAGATTGTAAAAAACGAATAATGTTCGTAAATGGCTCTGTGTATGAGTGTCGCTCTCAGCTGTTTTATGTACATATTTTTTAACAATAACAAAATTAAAAATTTATATGTCTCTTTATATGCGCTGCTGTTTTCCAGACATAATGATAGCCCTTTGCGTTGGTTCTTTAGTGGAAGTGGTTTTTAGGTGGCGGGTCCCAAACTCAGAACAAACCCTTGCTGGGAGAATGGTAGCTCCTCTATTTTAATGCATATTAAAAAATTAGTTAATTCTATTGAAGTAAAACACACACGTTTACATACGTATAGGTATTTTAATAATAAAGAAATATTCAGTAACAACGGAATGGCTACTGCTTTCTTACAGCTAATCTTTTGAGCAATTTCGCGGCGACATTCGTACCTGGCGGCGTGTTGTGGTTTTGCTACGCCAGACATCCAGAGTCATATGATATGCGCAAGTATATATATATATATATATGTATGTGTTTTTAAATACCACCAGACATAATTTTTTATCACAGAATCAACAATCTGCGTTATCGCTTGCTAAACAATACAAATTGCCTTTCCATCACTTACTTAGTTCAACATTTTGGGTGCATTCCACAACATCAAAATACAAAGCATCAGTCTCTTTTATTTCTAAATCTCAGTAGATGTAATGCCAAATGTGCGCAACGACGGCTAGATGCTAGTTTTCAACTTGGTTGCGCAGGTTAGACTTTTTTCTAGTGCGGTTTATAAATAAAAGAGACTAATGCTTTGTATTTTGATGTTTTGGAACGCAGCCTTTCATACAATTCTTATAGCTAGATTGTTATAGATATTCAATTAAATTAGGTAGGAAATAACTTTGTTCCAAAAATAATACGCACACCAGCTGCGACATGTATACAACTTGTTTTTTCGTTACAATTTATAATTACAAATTAAAGCAAAATAAGTACTTATTTATACATAAGATTATAAAAATTACTGCCTAAGAGTAAAAAGTTGCTAAGTCCACTTTTTTTGTATTATTGTATATTTTGATGCAAAAGCAAGAACAATAAAAATGCTAAAGGTTTGATTATGGAAACTTAACGTAACTCAGATATTCTATTAAATGCATGTTGATAACATTTGGACAGGCGGAACTTAAAGTAACTTAATGCCACGTCGAAGTCTATTTAATTTTGATTTTCTAAGTTCTAACTTAGGTTAAGTTAAGTTAAGTTGCCATAATCAGAGTTTAACTATTTAATTTCCAACCGTTTAGATTCAGCTATGTACATTTGTTATTCCAAGTGACAAGTCACAAGGAATATAAAGCTACAACTTCGTTTTAAAATTTTTGCAAAATAAGTGCTTCAAAAAATTGGTTTGTAAGGTTTTTTCTCCTGTACAATTTAAAAAACTGGACTTAGCAACTTTTTTCTCTAAGCTAGCGATATGTACATTTGTATGTACTTGCATGTGGTTGCACAAGAGCGGCGCATGTGCAGAAATTGTTTACATAAAGCAAGCAAAACATTACATTGCTAAATTAAAAGCGAAAATCCATGATACATACATATTTCCTATACACACATGCATCCATCTATTTAGGTGTACATATGCACATATAATAAACATAATCATAGTACATACATAAATATATATAGTATGCGAATTATATTTTCCCAAAAAAAAAAATAAAAATTAAATTTCTTTAATAAAAGTTATACAACTTTTTAAGCACTACTTCATTTCATACACATGCATACATACATATGTACATACGTAAATACATATAAATATGTGTATATGTATGGAAAAGTCCATCACTTTCATACTTTCCGTGGATTATAAACTCCAAGAAACGTGTTGCATTGTGAGCAATAATGATTGCCAGTCCGACAGCTGTTCATGCAATAGGGCACCAAACAAGCACAACAACAGAAACTGCAATGGAATGCAATAAATTAGTTTTTTTTTTTTATAATACATTTTTACAATAGATAGTTTTAAGGTTTTATTGTGAAAAATGTGTACTTTGGCAGTAAAAAGTAATTATTTTCGTTTATTGATTTTCCTCTCTCCTTCTTACCCGGCCAAGCATAGTATTCCCGCACAAATATGCGTTCGTGTGTTGGGTGTGAAAACCATTCGCGTCGTTTTGTTGGCACCGCAGACGGGACAGATGACCGCACATGGATTGGGACCTAATTTCATGCGCGTTGGAATATTGCCTGAAAGAATAAATACGTATATATAAATTGTTTATTTAAGAATATCGGTCCAGTTTTTCTAAATTTTTTAACCGAATTCCAAAAAAGGAGGGTTATCAGTTCGTCGGAATATTTATTTATTTTTTTGTTATGTATGTCACCTCATAACTTTGGACCACGTCAACCGATTTCAAAAATTCTTTTTGCATCGGAAAGGTAGTGTCTCAGAGGTGGTTTAGATCCCATCATTGGATAATGAAATATATGTGTGTTTCGAAAAAAAAATATTTGGGGCCAATCTATATTTCATCAACGGTAGGTATAATAAAGGGACTCCCTGCAAAATATTTATATGAATTGATCGAAATTTAATCATTACTAATAAACTCCATTATTTTATAACCTTTTCCGGCAACACCGAATGCTAACCCCTCTCTGTTATTGGGCTTAAAAAGAACAAGGCTCCGATAGAAACGATACACCGGCTAAACTGTTCGAAGCCGGCGGCGATGAGCTGGTAGGGCGCATGCATCAGGTGTTAAGCGCGATTTGATTAAATGAATACATGCTCGAAAATGGGAATATCTGTGTGCTTTGTTCAATACACAAGAATGCAGATGATGATTAATCATTCTGATTAATGGACGCTGACGGGTCCATCTCTGCCGGCTGTTTGCATGAAAGCGCAGACAATAATGAATATGATTGACACTTGGTGTAATGGAAATGGGCTCACCGCAAACTTAAACAAAACTATTGTTGCGATCTTCATTAGAAGGAGAGGGTTCGATGGTATCATTCCCTAACACTTATAGGAGTCACAATTCAGACTTCTCCCGAAGTGAAGTATCAAGGAGTTTATTAGTAATGAAGACAAAGCTATCGTGGGAATCTCACGTGGAATACAAGACCTCCAAAGCACTGGCAGCATTTTTGCAATGTAAACAGGTCTTTGGCAAATTGTGGGGTCTGTCATCAAAGGGAATCGTCTGTATGTATACCTCTATGATCCGACCCATTTGCAGTTATGCATCAGTGGTATGGTGGAGCAGACTCTCAATCAGTAGTGTGGGAAGTCTGCTTGCTAAACTTGAAAGAACTATTGCTGGGCGCTGTACGAGAGCTTCCTCTACAACACCTGGCGCTGCTCTCTTAATGCACTGCTGCACTCACCGTCACTTTGTGTCTTCATACGTGGGGATGCCTTAAAGGCCACCTGCAGACTAAAAAGAAACGGATGTTGGTATAACACTGAGTGGGGTGGGGCGGAAATTGCTGGCGGCTGAGATTTACACATTTGTGTATTTTCAATGCTACATGATAGTACGCCACCATTACTTCTGTTGAAGAGATTCTATAATGTTGAATTCCCTGGGGCTGAACGTTGGTTTAATACCAGCACTGAGCCCAGACACACACATTCTCGAATCTACACTGATGACTCCAAAATTGGAGGGGAAGTAGTTTATATGCCTGCAGTGACAGCCAAGCTGCACTTAGACATTGGACAGCCTTCTAACTGCTTCCAAACTAGTTCGGCAGTGCAAGTCTCGACTAAATCATGTTGACAAACATAACGAGCTTGTTTTACTCTGGACTCCAGCTCACTCGGGAGTATCTGGAAATGAGACATATGACCATTTGGCCAGAACTGGCTCAGACCAGTTGTTCCTCGGTCCACAACCAGTTATCGTACTTCCACCTTCGGTTATCGAAGCCATCATCAGAAACTGAGTGAATATTTCGCTCAGCAATGACTGGGAGGCATCGAGGGCTGCAGGTGGACAAAACTCATGTTGCCTTTAATTTCAGAGGTTCTATCTAGTTTATTGCTCACACTGAGCAGACGGGAATGCAGACAACATGTTGGACTGCTGACTGGCACAAACACCTCACTTTGATAAGCATTTATAACAACTCCATTTTCCCATCCTGCCTTGAAGAGAATGAGAGGGTGGACCACTTTTTGTGCTTCTGCCCCGTCCTTGCAAGAATTAGGTATGAGACATTTGGCCGCGATGTGTTGAGGGACGAATACCTGAGCTCTTTGACACCAAACAATCTGCTTAGGTTTATTCGGAAATCGTGCAGATTTAAAAAATATTAAATTTTATGTGGCGTAGAAGATATAATCACGAACCAATTGGTGGGAGACGAAAGCAAGGTTGGCTAAAAACACACTAGAAAGAACAAGTGCCGATGGACCCACCTTTACTAGGTATGCGGTTGCCTCTGACGAAAGTACAGTTGTACAAGGCTGTGATCATAAATGTATGAGAAGTACTATTTTCTTGGTTGAAACTACCACAAAACAACGGAAGAAAGTGCTTCATAACTAATTCTTGAAAAGGCGGGACAGAGGTCCAAAAAGTGAAGCCCAGAAGAGCTAATGAGGGTTTGATGATTGCCGATCACTGCCAGGTATTTTTTCTACGATAAGTGACTAGTCAGCAGTCCCATAAGTTGTCTGCAGTCTCATCTGCATGTCCAGAGTAACATGAGCTTCGCCAGAGTAACATGAGTTTCGCCGAGTTTCGCCCATCTGCGGTCCATCGAAGCCTCTCAAATATTCGAAATATTCACCCAGTTTCTGATGTTGACTTCGTTGACCAACTGGCACAGGTGGCGGATCAAGGAATACCTGGACCGAGAACTCTCTAGCTAGATGGCCTGATGTCTCAAAACAAGGCACTCTCGAGTAAATCAAGTTCGTTATGTTTTCTAACATAATTTAATCGTACCTTGCGATGCCTTGAATTCAGATTAGTGTAAACTCCTACCCCTCCGCCGATTTGCTACCACGTAGTCCATGGCCTGAGGCAAATTCCTCAAGATAGAAGTGAAGGCCTATCCCGTCACCTTCAATATAGACTTCAGATCATGTGCCTGTGTCAATAAATATTCTACAAGTTTTGATATTGGGCTTAGTATTCGGGTTAAGTCAGCACTCAGCCTCAAGAGACCTAGTATTGTAGTATCTTTTGAGCAAACGCAATGATGGCATACTGTCCCTTGGCTTTATTTTAAGCCTACAAGTGGCCTTGAGGGCCTACCCGCCAATAAAGACATTAGTCCAAAAGTTGTCGAAGACGGGGATATCCCATTAAAGCCCAGGTCAATAGCTGCCAAAAATTCTATAAAAAAGGTGCTGCCTTGTATTCACATACTTAAACACTTATTAAATAATTTGTTTATATACAATAGCAATTTAGTAGACGAACCAAAGCGAAGAGAAACCGCAATTACGCAAAAGTTAAAAATTAAAATTTCAAAATGAAAAAAATAAATAAATAAATGAAGTGCTAAATAAGCTGCTGTGTTGACTCACCTACTTGTGTTGTTGGTGATTGTGTTTGTTGTTGAGGCAGTGGTTGTACCACAATCACAGGCCTTGTCTGGCCATCGTGTGGTAATGGCTGAGACGATGGCGCTTGTGGTTCAGGTGTGGTCACCGCCGGTGCGCTAGGTGTCCAACCCAGCGCACCACTGCCTGCTCCTCCTTTAGTGTTTGACACAGTTGGCGTCGGCGTAGGTGTGGAAGTGGATGCTATAGCAAAGTCATATGAAGGAGGCGCCTCAGCTGGCAAGCCCATGGCAGCAGAGGCAGATATGCGATGACCATGAGTGGCAGCATTGTGTGCAGGATCGATATCCGGATAGAGCATAGCGCGTTTTTGATCCATTTGGATTTATTGTTTTCTGTGCTAAAAAATTATTTAGACGTGTGTTTATATATGTATGTATGTGCGTCGGTATTTCTAGAGAGCGTAGGCCTTCAAAGGTCACTGATTAAATGTGCCAAGTAACTCGTAAAACGTGTTTTTGTTGTTTATTTCGCTTCGCGCTTCACTGCACTGTTCACATTCAATTCACTTGTGATTTTGTAATCAAATGCACATATGTATATATTTTTTTTTTTATATAAAAAAATCTACGTTTTTAGTGTCGCGTTTACAAAGTGAATGAACGCCACAACGATCTGCTCAGACTCGCTTACACACCGCGACTGAAGTTGCAAAGTTCGAAAGCTTATTCGCGCTCGGATTTCGGATTTCTACCCAGCGATTTACGTATGTGTTTATTTATTTTATATTTTATTTTTCAATTTTACTTTATATTGTAGATTTATTCAGTACCTATTATTTTATTCTTTGCAATGCTTCGCTTTCATTTCGCTTTGGTTTCAGCTTTTCATTTTACTTGTTTACTCGCGGCAATCTGCTTCTGCTACAAAATATATATCTTCAGCTGATCTGCTAGAAAAAAACTCAATCGTCGTCGAGATGCATACATGTGTATGTATATGTGAATTATATATGTATGTAACTGCATTAAGTCTGAAATTGCAAAATTTTTGTAGAAAAATCGCGAAAAAGCAAAACCCGCAAAAGTAAAACTCCAAAATCGTAACTACGAATGGCTGATCAGCGACCATCCGAAGTATCGACGGAGTGAACTCTTAACCATCCAACAAAAATGAGTAGTTACATATAACAGTAAAGATAAGCGTTAACAAGGGCATTGAAAATAATCATGCAATATTGCGGACAGTAAAGCAGTCAGCCACAATTTTCGTTATGCGAACACTCAAATCTGTATCTATTTTTCTGTGACTTTGCAAAATGTTTTGGCATACATTATCTTAACTACCGGCAAATCAGCGTACGGCCAAGCATGCCCGGTAGGAATTTTCTCAGCGTTGTATTCTAAGCTAATGCTAAAAAATATTCGGCAAATAAAAGCTCTCCGCACCTCAGAATGTTACAACTCGCTTGCTTTGCTTTTCAAAGCATTAAAGTCGCCGGGACCGCTGGCATCATACCTGCGCAGCTGCGAAGGGCTTTGAAGTTGTCGGGTAATTGGTTGGATCCTATTTATGCGAACTGCATGAGGACACATCCCCAAGGCTTGGAGGTAGTCAGTGTTGAGCTCATCCCCAAGGCCGGAAAAGGCGCACATGTTTCGCCTAGGTATTTTAGGTATATCAGTCTCTCTTCGTTTTGTTTAAAACGCTAGAGAGATTGATAGCCCTGTACATTAGAAAAGCGATTCCTCGTGACTGTCTTTCAAGAGATCAATATGACTTTTGCAAGAAAAGGTCAGCGAATACCGCCCAAAACACATTGGTAAAGTGGTCAGAGGAACCCTTCCATAAGGTAGTGCTCTCTCTCCCCTTTTCTGTATTGTGGTTATAAGCCACCTTCTAAAGAAACTGGAACTGGAACTGAACTTTCGGGTGATCGCCTCTGTAGATGACGTGGTACCACCAGGTAACTTGGTGGGCCATCAACGGCAGTTGTCGTGGAAGCCTAGCATTGAGGAAAGGGAAAGAAAGTTGTTGGTTGCCTTGTACTGCCGTAGGGGAGCTATCAGTAAAAGGTGAGGAGGTCTCTCACCCAAAATAATTCATTAACTCTAGGAAACCAGATTTAAGTATCTATTGCTTGCCCTTGTCTGGTGGAACTCACTAGAGAAGACTACACTTGTAAAATAAAAATTAGCAGTGCATTAGGAACTACACCTATATTGGCGTTTAACATACATATGTTGAGCACGGCGCCTGCGGATATTGCGTGAAACCGGGTCCTTTTGTGTCATAAAAAAGGAAAAGAAGACGTTTCTCTGCTGCAGCAAATGTTTTTATAGGGCACTTTAAAACATTTTACCTCTCAAGGGCTAGTGATGGGGGTTCTGACTTGCCATTGTGCGATTGGTGTTCATGCGGTGAGACTAGGAATTTCAACTGATCGTTTTGTATCAGCTGTCAAGAGGAAGATGAAGTGGAATCCAGTGTTGCCAACTTTTTATTTTCAAAAAGCACCAAAAACTTGGAAAAAAGCACCAAATGGTTTGAATCAATGGATGCTTTTTTCATAACAGTTGGTATGTATTTAATAAAAACAAAAAATTAATAATATTTACAAGAATATATACATAAATCAATAAACAAAACTTTTTCGCTCATAACGATTGAAAAGCCACATGCTATAATGACTCATGCTTACGACGTAATACCGAAGTACTGCACATTAAAACTGATATATCTCAAGAAAGAAAAATCGAATCCCAACAAACGAAAATCATGCCCTAAGTAGAAATGAGCAAAAAAATTTTGTTTTCATTATATGAGTAGTCCACTTGCAAAGTGCGCTATGTAAAATTGTTTCGATTGTTAGTNAAAATTCATATGTATTGTTTTTTCTGCTTTTCTTTACTCTCCGTCTTCACCAGACGCCCACTTTTCTCATTAGTCAATCTTATCCCCACTAAGTTCCATTCATCAGATATAATAAATAAACGCAATCATTATAATAAATTAACATGCAGATACACCTTTATACTGAAAAGTCTACGCTTGGAATATACTTTAACTACACGATTGAGAGAAATAGAGATTGCGCCAATCGCGGTACCGCTAATCCGCTCTTTGTGATTTTGACAGAATGAGCTGTGTGCGTGACGTCATCTTGGTGCAATTGTTGATTGTGAGCATATGAAAGAACCAAATAACAATTTTAATATTTGTGCGCAGCGTTGCCAACTTTTGAGTTTCAAAAAGCACCAAAAACTTGGAAAAAAGCGTTTTACCACACTAAAAGCACCAAATGGTTTGAATCAATGGATGCTTTTTTCATAACAGTTGGTATGTATTTAATAAAAACAAAAAATTAATAATATTTACAAGAATATATACATAAATCAATAAACAAAACTTTTTCGCTCATAACGGATTGAAAAGCCACATGCTATAATGACTCATGCTTACGACGTAATGCCGAAGTACTGCACATTAAAACTGATATATCTCAAGAAAGAAAAATCGAATCCCAACAAACGAAAATCATGCCCTAAGTAGAAATGAGCAAAAAAATTTTGTTTTCATTATATGAGTAGTCCACTTGCAAAGTGCGCTATGTAAAATTGTTTCGATTGTTAGTTTTAGGTGGATTACGTACCAGTATTTAAAGTAGTTTCATGTCCACTAACAACACAGTATATTCTGAAAAAAATAGCATCAAATGTTAACTCTTCTTCCAAAAGTCGCTATCATACTTGTTTATAATCTTTCAAAAGTATACATCTTGATGAACATAGAACACTGCTTTAAGTCGTATAGACTGTTAATATTATCTTATGCCATTTTATGTTATATTGCAATTTTATAAGGCTCTTATTTATCCAAATTTTCAGGTAATAATAAAAAAGATTCAATTGAAATGTTACTTGTTGCCGTAGTCGTTTTTTCAAATTTATGGCGTTCTATTATAAAATCACATAACGCTGTTTACAAGTGGACTACTCATATAACCTCAAATATCGCCAAAAACCGTGATTTTAGCACTTTGAGGTTAGGATATCTCAAAATTCTAGTGGTAGAGCGATTGTGCGGCCAGATTTGGATTCAGCACCAAGAAACGATGTGTTTTACTCAGGTGGTACAAAAATAAAAATTTCTATAAATAATTAGAAAAGAAAACAAGTAATTTTTAGCAAAAAAAAAACCGACTTCAACTCTCATATAAAAAAAAATATATATATATATATCTCATGATCCACTGATCGGATCTTAACCAGATTAGTATGGGACTACCTCTGAGACACTACCTTTCCGATGAATTATCGAAATCGGTTGACGTGGTCCAAAGTTATGCGGTAACATACATAAAAAAAAAAAAAAAAAGATTCCGAAGAACTGATAACCTCCTCCTTTTTTGGAAGTCGGTTAAAAAGAAAAACTTAACTTACTCGCATATCTACTAGCATTTTCAACGCGAATAGAATTGAACCGTGCTGCTGTCACTTCAATTGAAGTTTTTCACTTCACTTTAGAAGCCTTCACTTCGTCACATCATTTTACTTCGTTTTACTTCGTTTTACTTCGCTTTCCACAAATTAGATTTATCTTCAAAATGAATAAAAATTTCTTTGAAATATATGATTTATTTAACCAAAATCAACAATCTTTTGCTAAAATTCTTTTTAAATAGTAAGTATGGCAAAGAAACTTTTCGCAAAAAAGCTATTCAAAAGAAGCCTAATAAATCTTCGATCTGGCATCGGTTATTTGGAAGAAGTAATTTTGATTTTCATTTTCACATAAATAGTTGTAAAACGAACAAAAATGAATGAGTGGATAAAGTTTCATAATTATTTAGTAAATATTTAAGGAAAATAATAATTACATTTTAGTTTTCATCATCTTAAATTTTACAGCAAAAAGGAAACATTAAAGTGAATCTGGTGGTGACGTTGTTGCTGCGTGTCTGGGGATGACTTTGTTGCTGTGAATCGATAATCGATTAATTATATTTTAGTGTTAATATCATCAGTGTACTGTAATTTGTGATTTTCTTCCCTCAACGTTTGAGACATTTTGATTTTAAAGATATTCCAGCACTAAATTTGCACAGGAACACAGTAAATTATAAATTAAAAAAGGTTTAAGATTACTTTTATTGTGATAAAAATATAATCGATTAACCAATCAGGTGATAAATAACCTAATCGAAAAACCCCACACTCCTAATTGTGCATGAAAGTCGTCACTTCGATAATCACTTCACTTTTCCTCCCAAGTCACTCCGAAACACTTCACTTTTAGTGTGTTTTCACTTCGCTCGAACAAGGTGACTTTGCAAGTTCAGCTTTTTATCAATCATGGTTGTATTTAAGTGCATTTAAATTTGTAGATTTTTGTAAATTCAGTGCTGCCACAGCTTTAAATATTTAAAAACTATTTCAGGTTTTATCTATATCGAAGTAATTTTAGTTCAGAAAAAAGCACTAAAAAAGGCACTAGGCACTAAATAATTTTTTATAGCGTTTTAATTTTCAAAAAGCACTAAATCTAGTGCTTAAAGCACCAAATTGGCAACTATGGTGGAATCATCTCCACACTTTCTTTTAGACTGTCCACTGCTGAACAAACACTGAGCTCCCAGGGATCGAAACTAGCCGCAATCGAAATTTCGTAATCGGCTTGCGGCGTGAACTTCACCCAACCTAAGCTGTACTTCTTTGAGCTATGAATAGGGTTCAATCGATACAAGTAAATACAAGTAAATAATCGATACTTTTCTTTTGATACCAAGTATTTTTTTATTCGATACCTTTTTTTCGGTATCGAGTAAGTATCGAAAAAAAGTACTTGGTATCGAAAGAGTAATTTCTACTCCTTTCATCATTGCAAGGGCAACTCAACAAATGACCTTATTAGAGTTTTCGCGAAAAGTGCGGTCATGTAGTAGAGAAAGTAGAAATCGCTTGTCTGGAAAGCATTTAGAAAAGTTGTTGTTTCTTGGCAGTGTGCCCCAAAAGCTTTTTTTTAATAAGTGTTTTGTGAATAATATACTTATGTATATGAAGTCATATATGTAATTCTAACGAATATTGTTCCTCAGCAATTTACCAAAAGAAACAATACAATTTTTTTTTCATAAATAGTTTGTAAATGATGCAGTGCGCTGTATACTTATAGGGGTGACCTTATGGATAAGTGCCGGATTTTTATTTTTATTTTCAAATTAATTTTAGTTAATTTTTTATAAAAAATTAAAATTAATTAAATTAAAAGAAAATCAAAGTTTCACCAAAATTAAACACTTTTTATTCAGAATAAAAAGTGTGAAATTTTGATGAAAACGTACTAGCGCGAAAGAGAAGGCATAAGTTGTCTCTTCTTATTATTTACGTTCTTTGATGAAACTTTGTTGATTTGCTTTTAATTTTTGTACAAAGTTTTAAACTTGGATTAACAAGGTTTTTGTTATGGAATGAACTATATTATTTATAAAAAAAGTGAATAAAACTAATTTGAAAATAAAAACAAAAATAAAAATTCGAAACTTATCCATATTGGGTGACCTATACACTCATATGACTGAAACAATTATAACCAATACTGTTCCTTGGTAATGTGCCGCAAATATTAATTAATAATTATTTTGTATTCTTACTAAATAACTTAAATATCTGTGTTCGTATGGAAAAGTAGCTTATGTCGAAAGGCTGACTTTAATATAAATCGGCATTTGCAGTATACGATTCCGAATGATTCGATGGCGCTGAGCCGTTGAACAACATTTAGAAAATAAACGTGCAAGAAATAGTTCCGATACTAGCAAGTCAATATTCTTATTAAGTCTCATCAAAAAATTCCTTGTCGTTTAAAGAATAAAAGGAATGCCGCATTATACTAAAGCCAACCCTTCGACATAAGCTACTTTTCCATATGAACACAGATATATACGTTTTCTATACCTGCAACTTTATTGGCTTTTTATTTGATTTTGACATACAATGTTTTAAACAATGATAAGACGTAACCATACGACCTTTTACAACAAAAAATGGAAGTATCTCTCGAAAGAGAAGATGAAAACAATTCAAGTAAGTACTCGATACTTTGCCGATACTGAGTAGGTATCGATACTTTCAGTCTTTTGAATACAAGTACTCATTAGAGTGATACTTTAGTGTTATCGATCGAACCCTAGCTATGAAATAGTTGGTCACATTATTTATGCTGGTCGATTTAACGGTGGTAATTTGATTTTGATCCCTGGCGTCTCCAAATGTCTTCTTTCCACGATTTTTAGCAATAAATGGACTCCAGCGCCAACTTGCGGCTCTCTTTTTCAATAGTATTGCCCCTACCGTTACCAATATACATCTTATTTTTGAGGCGAAACGGACAATAAATACGATGGAAAAAATGGATCCTGTATGTTAATCTAGGAAAAGGCTTTCTACGTACTAAATTTCAAGCAAACCGGACGATAAATAAGACTTTTTCGAATAGATCGCTCTCTGGTCCACTTTACGGAAAAAAGAATCATATATGCTAATCCAGGTAAAAAAGCCCCCTACGTACTAAATTTTAAGCAAGTCGGACCATTATGAGATTTTTTCGAATAGATCGGTCCCTGCTCCACCTACCGGAAAAAAGTAAATTTTTTTCCTAAATCATGGTGGTCGCTGAAAGCTATTTATATACAAAATTTCATGAAAATCGGACCAGCCGTTCGCGAGATTACCTTTTACAAAAAAAGGGACCTTTCTTTATATAACTAGTATAGAAGATTAGTATAATTAACCTGCTGATTGTTATGTTGCGGGTGTATTTGCACTGCCTAATCATCAGCTGGACAAAATATAATTCGGAAATAAAATGCTTGAATTCTGTGATTTCATAGTTTCCACCTTCGCCTGCTAAATTAAATGAATAAACATTGTTGAATATAATTGTTATAAGGCCATAAAATAACAAAAACAAATAACTTAAAGACGAGTACACCTAAAAGTAAAACATTCTAAAAATAGAATTATTAGCAAAAACCAACAATACCAACAACCACATGATCAAGTGAATTGCAGCGGAATAGCTGCGCTTGATTGTGAAAATGGCTTAAATAGTGAAATAGTGGAAATAAGCATTAAGAATTAACAAGGCGAACTTAGCACAGTGCGTAAATAGGCAACTGGCTGAGTCAGTGGGATCGTCGGTTCGAATCCTACTGAAAGAAGTCTGATGAGGATATATGGTGATTTCCGAAATAGCTATCACTTCTACCATTTTTTCACATTATTGTTGCTTTTGCACAATATGTTTTTCATTAAAACGGCCTCAAGCTCAATACAAATTGTTGAATATAAAAATGAAGCTACGAAAATATTACACATGTACAATGAAGTCAAATATTAATTTTAATTTACAGTTTGTGGCGTTTATTGCTTTCCTTCTTATCGGCTGAATTTCAGATATACATTTCATTACAAATATTTAGATAAAAAAGTAAATGTTTTCGTAGATGCATACATACATGTATGTGCACTCCAAAGTTTAAAAAGGTATTTACTTATTTAAGATCGTAGATACATATGCCTTAATATAAATATGTGCACTAGGGCGGAGTAATCTAATTTCTAAAAAAGTGTATGGCATATTCGAATTCTACGTTCAATTCTTAGCAAAAATGGCGAACGAACTATGTACGAAAAATTATGTTTGACCCTCCTAATTTTTAAAGAAAATTCTTGTATTTTAATTTTTCTGAACGAAATTAGTTATTCATTTAATAAACTTTGCGTTTTCTGCATACAATATACTGCTTTTCCTTTTGAAAATTGAGAGGATCAAACGTCCATTTTGGTACATAGTTTGTTCGCCACTTTTGCTTGGAATTAATCTTAGAATTTGAATTTGCCATAAACTTTCTTCGAAAATTTTGCGTTGAACAAATTACTCCGGCCTAATGTGCAATATTATTGTTATATATGTACATTGACTATCATTTGCTTCAATAGTATCGTAACTCAAAAAAGCGAAACTTAAAGTTTTAAATTTACACATATGTATATACTCCCATTGTAAATCTTAGTACGTATTTTGTTCTAGCGGTTAGCGGTGATTTCTGCGTACTTAACTCAATATTTGTATTTTTTGGATTATGACAATATTGAAGTAAATGAGCGATATGTACACATGTATGTACATTTACATATGGCTTGTAATACTTCGAAATTTATACATATTGAAATTATAAACATTTAGCCATGATAAAAACATAGCAAGGTATAACCGTTCTCTCAATTTGTCGGCCATGATTTTTTTTTGAAGTTTGCCAACATTTTAAAATCATATAAAAGTGAAAATAAAAAATTGAAATTGTTCGAAATTGTTGTTGCTTGAGATTGAAAATGAAAATGTGTGTGTGAGTTTGTGAGTAAATTTAAAAATTAAATTGTTTGGAAACGTCAAGAATCTTAAAAGTGACTCTCAGCGGTTCTACCTTACTATATTTTTATCATGCATTTAGCATCAAAGCTTGAATAATTTGTTTTCTTGTGACCTAAATAAAATGTGTTGAAAGCCTCCATTCTCGGATATCCTGATTATTCTCGCACGTAGGTACCCAAGTAACGGTCACACAAGCCACAATAATGTGCCGTATTCATGCAACTGCCAATGCAATAGGGTAAACACACGAAGCAGTAGAGCCTAAAAACATAAGATCGCAGTATTAAAATCGTTAAATAGAAAAATATTAAAAAATAAAAATACATACATAGGGGTATTCATCAAAACGAGTCAATGCCTCGTAACCAGGCAAACCTCGTAAACTTACTTAATTTTGTATGGAATCGATGTATTTTGTATGTATCGATGCATTTAAGCGTTAAGATGGATACCCCTAGTATCTTTTTTTTAATTCTCTGAAATGATTGCAACTCAGTACACTCGAAAATCTTATTATATCGGCTTAGTTCCGCATTTATCTTCTTATAGATAAGATTTACGCTGTACAGTGGAATACAAAAACTTTTTCGGCTTATCTCTGTAAAAGCTTAGACTATAAGAGGGCTTCTTTCTGCATCGATTTCGTCCGCATACCCCACTTTATACAGTACCAACTTTGGGTGGTCTCATGATTTCTTGTGGTTAAATTACTTTCGCAATGTAAAACTTTTAAAATTCACCATTTTCCTTAAACCGTTTTTCTTAGAATTTCAAATCACTAATGCTAAATGGTCGGCAGGCCATAGCTCACTGAGCGCTCTCTGAGCACATGTGTGTTTCACACGTACATATACGAAGAGCGGTAGCTGAGAAGTGCATTTAACGCACACAGTCTCACTTATTGAATCGTTTGAATGTGTTAGAATGCCGACCACTGAACTAGATTGTACATAATAAAAAACCCCTGAAACCTGCATGCCTTGGGTATAAAAAACCATAGTGGGCAACGCCATAATAAGCACTTACTGGAAAAGGCATAGCAGCAGGGCAATTAGATGCGTGCGTGAGGTTGGCTTAAAGCGCAAGCGGGTGCGTGTATAATTGTGGCAGTAGGGACACTGTATATCCACCGGTGCGGGTCCATATGCCAACGGTGCGCCGGCTGTACCCAAGGCAAAGAAAAATAAAAATGTAGAAGCAAATCACAAGCGAAAGAAACGATTTAGGAACTCAAAGGTTGCGTCACTTACGCGTAATTACAACAATATGCGCGGCATCCGGCGCTGTCGTGGGTGTGGCACCTGTTGCTTGTGAGTACGTGGGTGGAGCCGGTTGCAATAGAGCCTGTTGCTGTTCACTCGCTGCGACCGGCTGCTCAAGTGGCGTGGACGGGTAAATGCGCTGCGGAACGTTTGATTTTTCATCCATATTTGCGAGGAAAACACTTTATGGTAATTCTTTGTAGAGATATTTGATATTGATATGCTACACTTGTAGAATGTTTGTTGGAGGCAAACACTCTTTGCAATTTTCTCTGGTTTTCGCGGTGGGTTAAAATTCGAATACTTTGCTCTAATTATTTTTATTTGTATAATGCGCGTCAGCCAGGTGTGTCACGCCGTTACTGCTGCACTCATATCTCATACTGCGGAGCTTTCACATACTTACGGCGAGCAATTTTCGATTTTGGTGCGACACAATTCTTAACAAAAACGAAACAGTCCGAAAAGTAAATAAAACTATAAAAATCCCACAAAGACGTGCGGCAGGGCGCGAAAGCAGAAACTGTATTATATACAATCGAGAAGTTAAGCCAAGCCATACGAACACTATTGAAAATATACAACGTGCGTATTTATCTATAAATACTAGGATTATTGACACGGTTTTTTCAAACCGGTTTAACCGGTTTCAAGGCGTTTTTTTCGAATATCGAATAATCCGGTTTTTTGCTACTTTGAGCGTTTTGAGCTACCTCTAAATAGTTTTTGATTTCAAAATAAAATGGGGGGTAACTCTCGGTGTAGAACAATGCTAGGGAGTGAGAGCATAAGAATCCCGACTTTACTTTTTCACATGCATTTTTGGACCACCGTAATGCGCATACATTTTCCAGTTATTGAGAACAGTATACATCAACGCATAACTGCTTTCATTGAAAAGGGTATATACAGTGTTGGAAAAATAAATAACACATTTTTCCTATTTTTCTTTTGTGTTTTTAATATTTATTCAGCCTTATCATGTGATTCATTTTCACCGAAGCGATTCACTTTTCACTTTTGGTTTCCATGGTTCTACTATTGTCGGATGACAAATTTTCGGGTGATTTTTTTTTTCGACGAAACTCAGGATAAGGCAGATTGTTTTTTTATAAAAGTAAAGCTCATTATCTAACAAAGCCTATATAACTTGATATTTCAAACTTTGTGCAAAAATGTTATTTAAATTTGCAAAACTGAATCTAAATTTGCAACATTTTAATCCGATTTTTTAGATTTTTTTGAGTATGCAGTTTTATAGTCCAATTTTAGCTGAATAAAGTACAAGTTGAAGTGCCTACAAAATCGCGCCGATTTCTGATAATTTTTATTCTGAATGTATTACGCACTTTTTCCATACAAAAAAAAAATGTCGAACATAATTTTTATGGAAAAAAAGCTTTTATGGAAAAAATTGCCAAAAATCAACACGATTTTTTTTGCAACTTAAAACTTACACGTCATTCTACTAAAATTTATTGGACTATAAAACGGCATACTCCAAAAATTCTAAAAAATCTGATTAAAAACTTAAAAATTTATATGCAATTTCGCAGAATTGTTATAATTTTGCACAAAGTTTGAAATATTAATTTATATGGTGTTTGTTAGATAATGAGCTATAATTTTATGTACAAATAAAAAATATTATATATACGAAAGAATAATGGGCAAAATTTGAAAAAAAAACGCCGTGTGCGTATTTATTTTTCCACCACTGTAATTGAAAATTCCATGTAGGAAATGATTTCGAAAGCAACTAGAAATACAGTCGGAAGTAGATAATTCTAAAACTCTATGATCTCAAATTTCCGGTAAACCGGTTTGATATTTTCTAGCTTGGCTATTTTGTTATCTGAATTCATTGAAAATCTACATATAGCCCCTACAGAGTACACAGTTCTGATGTGAAAATAATCAATTCTATTAATAGAATCTCAAATTATTTGAATTAATTTTAGATTCGGAATAGTGCGTGCTGCAATCTGTGATTTAAAAATAAACAGTAAGAGAACATAAAATACACAACCCCAATTGACCTTTTAAAATGTACACAAAATAAATTTCTGAATTCTTTTCTTAAAAGGTTTATACTGACACACTACCATAATCCACATTGTTCCCAATTCTGAGCCGGACACTCGCCTGCTGCATTAATTTGAAAGTGATTCATTTCTAACTACTTTTTCAACTGGTTACTTTTTATACGGCTCGCTTTATTCCAACAGGGTATTCAAAGTACACAAGTACATGTATGTATATGTATGTGCATCTATGTACGTACTTACGCGCTTCTGTGGTTATCAGCACTGCCAGTAGCGGACGCGGCGATAACAATCGATTTCAAACGAAAAGCTTACATTTTTATCATCGGAAATCGCGGTAAATTTCACTGTTGCAGAGTGGGGGTGTGCTGGGCGCATTGGCAAGACGCACACTCATAATTACCTCCACATATATACATACATTTTTGTCAATTCGTATATACGCTCTCAATGCGCTACATTACATTAAGGTGGTCGAAAAAAAATTTCCCTCTTGTCGAAAAAGGTGGTGCACCCAAACTTTACGTTTCTCAGCGCCAGTTTTCCAGCGCACTTGTTTGGTTTAAACTTAGTTTAAAAGCTGGCTGGCTTAAATAAAGATTATCCAATCAAATATCAGCCAGCTGTTCAATACAAACGCAGTTTACGTGATCTAAGTTTGAACTGAAATCAGTTTGCAGTTTGCCACATAGCGAAAATATGTAATTCCTTCATGGCATAGATTTTTTGCCTTAACTTTATACAGACTTTTACGTTGGTGACATGAAGTTTTTGCTTGAGAAGACCCTTATTAAACTTTTCCGAAGATTAATTTTCTAGAATGTTTCAATCCTCTAAGGAACTTCCAAATTTACTTTTCTCGGGGTTTCTCGATGTAATGGTCAAAACGATCTTTTCAGGCGGGAGCTACTGGGTTAAAATGTTATACGAAAATATTTCCCATATAGAAAAAAAAAACAATTGCATAAAACCTGAGGAATTTTCTCAAACCCTGAGAAATTTGTGACAAACCCTCGGCTTCGAGATTCGATCGGAGACCCCTGAATCTCAGTGTGATAAATCCAATCTGGCAACCCTATACAAACCGTATTCTTAAACGCATATTTACTAACAGTTTTGGAGCCGTAACTTAAAAATTATTAATTTTCTGGCATATTTGAAAAAGTCCTACACAAAAATATATGTATGTAGCTAATGTTTGGACTTTTTCGTTCTTTACTTTTCCTGTTAGTAAAGAATCATCATTGGTGCTTTTCTATATTTTAACAACGATTTGTACGTGTGTACTAGGGATATTTCGAATGTCATATTTTTCACACTCGCGAATGCGAATGCGAATTTTCGGAATGCAAATGTTAGGAATAACATTAAAAAAGCTCTAATAAACTTAAGTCTTCGTTTTTATTACTTAAACTACTACTAAATTAAATTAAATTAATTAAAACTTAAATTACTATTTACCATACATTGTTTTTTTGTTTGTAGTAGTCAAAGTTCAAAAAAGGGGCATATTATATTAAAAAAAAAACAATTTTGCTGCCTTTTCTCCCATGAGGCGAGGTGAGTTGGAACGCTGGCGGGTGGAGCGCTCAAAGTTACCACCCACATTAAGTTTTTGTTTTATTTTTAAATATTGTGGCTTGCGTTACCCCATAGGGCCACTATTAGTCGCAATCGTGGTCGTAGTTCGCTAATGGCGATCCTAGGGAAAGTTGTCTAAAATCTGCTGATGCATCAAAAATTATCGATTTTATGCATGCAAGGATTATGCCAGATCGACGGTATTGCACAAAACTTTAGCCGTATAAAGAATTTGTTCCTTATTGGAGACCGCACAATTTGACAATCGTGCGACCTGTTGCGAAAATTCTCTGAAGAAAGTCGACCTAAGTGCATTAAATGCAGTAAACAACGTACACGTTCGACTTCTAGTATAATGCCACTACCAAATTTAAGCAATAGCTCTTAGAATAAGGAATATGATTACAAAGAGCTAAGCTGTAAGCTGATAACTTAATGTATATAAGCTGTATACTTAAAACCGTATAAACATTTTGGCGAACGCTCGAAAAGACCTTCGATAATGGGTTACAAAATTAAAACCATAGAGACAAGAGAGATAGTGAAAGCCAGCTCACTCTCAAAGGCAAATATAAGACAATCATACTCTCATTAAAATTTCCATTCTGTAATGGGCTGGATTTCGAACTCATAACGGAGGCAAACAACATTGGTTAGAGGGGGTTCCGGTTTGTTGGTGAATGGCCTAGTTCTCGAATCGTATACTTACTTATTTCACATTCATTAAAGAAAGTGAGACTTGAAAAAATATTAGTTCCTCAATCATTTTCAAATTGCTAACCAAGCCCAATGCTTATTGGGTACTGTTTATATGTTATATAGTAGTGACGAGTTATGAAAACCCACCAATATTTGCAAGAAAAAAAACACAGCAACACATATCGAAATACCTCCATCTCGCATCAACAAGTAAATATCTCCATATGTCGAACTTCGTATTAAACACCACTTCTAACAAATTTGTTAATTATACCGATAACGAGTTATCATTTTATTTCAGAATTAAAGTATGATGTGAGTGTTTAATTATAAATCATAAAGAAACAGTCTTATCTACTAAATAGATAAGATTACACTTTCATTTGAATGGTTCACTTGCCAAATCGATTAACTCCACTTTTTGACATATCGTGAATTCAAGTGTCAAAGCACTTGGTATAGTCATAACTTATTACATTTATAATAATAACAAGTAAGAAAGTCTAAGTTTGGGCGGAGCCGAACATTAAATACCCGGCGCAAGTACTAAATATATGATTTTTACCTTTCCGAAAGCTAACGCTACATGGTAAGCCGGGGTGTATCAATTTTAAGTAAATTAGCGTCTATACGAAAAGCGGCCTTAATTTTCAACGTTTTTCTTTTATGTGGCAAGTACAATAACCATACCGAGTTTGGTACAAATTGCTAGAACGGTTACCGAGATACATATATGTGATCATAAGTGGGCGGTTACCGTTATATGGGAGTTATGCTTGGTTATTGTCCGATTTTGCCCATTTTCAATACCATCCGTCCTACGCCCGAGAGAGGTGCAGATATCTCAATTTTTACTCGAGTTATCGTGTGCACAGACGGACGGACGGACGGACAGTCACCGCTTAATCGATTTCTCTTTTCATTCTGATCATTTATGTATACATTTGTCTATATCTATCTCGATTCGTTTTGCCTGTTACAAACAACCGTTATGTGAACAAAGTTATAATACCCTTGTGCACAAGTGGGCTCGGGTATAAAAACATGTGGCAAGCCCTCTTAAAATATTTTAAAACTAAATCCTTCTTAAACTCTTTCGTTGGACATCTATATTGTGATGCATGCCCAGTGCGAAAATGTAATGTATAGTAATCGAATAAATAATAAGTAAAACAACCCTTTTTGCATTCGATAATGCATTTTTCCCCCAGGGCGATGTCCAAAGAAAAATTAGGCATTAAATTTTGCATTATCTAGTATCGAGAAATTAATGTGATTTATTATGAAATTTTTGCGAATTTTTGAATACATTAGAATGCTGATTACATATTAAACAGTAATTGGATCTAAAACTCATAAGAAATATATTCGATTATTTATCACGCATGGAATGCATTACTGCTTTTCCTCCTGGTTGCATATGTATGTATTTCAATTATGCAATTGCCTTAATTCAAGTTGAATTTGATTTTTAAACATATCCATTTCAGAAATAAAGCATTTTCAAACCCATTTCGATTGATATCCATCCTTTAGTAATAAAATATAAAAAAAGGTTTTCTCTTAACAGCGGTCCTCCCTCGGCAGGCAATGTCAAGCCTCGGAGTGTATTTCTGCCATGAAAAATAGCAAAATTATTTTCAACTAAAACTCCTTCGTCTACCATTGCGATACACATTTCAATTAACTGATGTATTAAGTTGAACTTTATTTTTTAAGCATGTGGCAACCCCGATGAATATAGTTCAAGAAAAAAGATTTTTCAAACACCATTGGATTGATGTCCATATTTTAAAAATTTATTTAACTTATTCAATAGCTTAAATTTAATTTTTAAACAGGTGGAAACCCTCTTCCAATATCTCCAAAATAGTCTTTGTGTTCAAACTAAAGATTTCTTAACATTATTTCGTTGCATCCGTATTTTTATGTTTTATATAACTTGTGTATGAGTTAACTAAGTTCGACCTATCAAGCAGGTGGCAACCCTCTTCAAAATTTTTTCAAACTACTACCTTCTGAACCCCCTTTCGTTTGGCACCCATATGTTGCAGGAAACTTCTCCTAACTAATTCCCTTAATTCAAATTGAATTTGATATCCATTTTGTAATGATTGATTAATTTATTTTTTAATAATATGAATATAATTTTTTAGAAGGTGGGCACTTTTTTTTAAGTTAAACCTTAGTGCACATCTACAGGCCAAGCGCTTTAATTTGACACCATTGTGAAGTTGCCACCAACTGTATCACACAGATTAGGATAATTCACCATCGAACCGGATCATTGTTGCCGCAAGAATTTCTTCGCGGGCATAACTCTTTCGTTAGGTTATCTAAGACGGCAATGAAAGATATGCCTTCTGACGACCACAAAACCGAACGTGAACGTGAATTGTTGGTGAAAACGTTGGACCAAATATTTCAATACAATAAATTAATTTTTTTGGCGGCACAGAGTTCGCCGGGTCTGCTAGTATATATAGATTTATATACAAGAGATTATACTTACTCGTATCAAAGGAGACCTTTTTAGTGACAAAGATTCCATATGGAATATGTATACAAGTACAGGGCCTGTTCGAGGCACGCAATAAAAGCGGCATTACTGCTATACTGATGAAAATTTGCAACACTGTTAGGACCAACATTTATATGTGATATCTTCGATGTAGGAGTTGAGGCTTAGGAAATCTGATGTAAAAATTTGCGTCCAACATTTAAGGACCACCCTAATGTACTTACAAAGAGAAATTTTATTTTTATATTTCAACAATATGTACATAATTTGTACGCCCATAAATACTTTTTCACACATACATAGATATGTATTCATTATCACATTAACTATTTTGAAAAATATACTTTATTGTGTAGAGGTACATAAGTATTTATTATGTAAGTTTATTTAAAGCTTTTATCAATCATTAAATAATCGTGCATTAACACTTGTAAACAGTTAGGCATATGCATGTGTGGCTTTGTGTGCATATACATATGTACATAGTGCTTCTGTTCCTGCGCATGCAATACCTTCGTGCTATCGCAATATATTTTACATAGTACTTAAATATGAAAAAATTTAAGATTCATTGATTAACTACTGGTTTTATAAAAAATGTAAGCGACAATAAAAGAATAATGCTGGCGAGTGTTTGAAGGTCAACCGCTGCTTTCTGCCCGCTTCACAATCCATTAGAATCCGCCGCCATTGTAGGTGCCCAGGAATTTATTGCAATTACCGCAATAATGGTTCGTACTCATGCAACTCTCTGCACAGTAGGGCAAACAGACGCAGCACCATAAGCTGAAATTGATTGAACAAAAGTTAAGTTAAATTATGGTGGAAATATATAAATTTATTTAACTTAATTTTTTTTATCTCTATAATGTGTGTGTATGCAATCGTGCGTAAAATGTTTTCAATTACGTAAATGAAATGTGATTCTTTGTTTGCTTGGCTGCGGAAGCTTATGCAGTTCATGCATAACATTTAATACCTAATGGTTCTTTGTGTGTGTGTGGTTGTAGGTATGCGTTTTGTCGCAAATTTATCAAACTCAAAAGGAGATAAGTAAGAATTAAGTCTGCTGATAAGTTTTTTTTTAATAATTTTGTATAAATTTATATTCTTAAAATCATACATAGTATGCACATACAGTATCGGTCAACACAATAGCTCCCCCATTTCAAACTGAATGGCTCTAAAAAAAATTCTTACACTTCTGAGAAAAGAGTTTTAACTTTGGATGAAAATATGTGGAATTTTTTTGTAGTCTTTTCTTCTTCACCCAAAGTATCACCTGTTGGCAAGTCTTATTTTTCGCTTGATCTCCAGGCTGACGTTTGTAGTCGTTTAGAAACTTTTAATCTTGGGTTTATAGGGGTTTTGTTAGAAAATGAACAGTATTTTAATTGAAAATTCCTAAAATTGAATAATTAAATTTATTATTATTTTAATTTTGAAGCCGAACTTGAAATTTTTTTAATTTAATTAATATTATTGTTTACGAAATGCCAATAAGCGGACATCTCTTATAGGCGGACAAGAAGTAGATGACTATCGATGTCAGCTTATGGAAGCTTTCACTATACAAAACACATATATCACCTTTTTGTTAGGCTTGAATTTATTGTGATTTTCTTCTTCCTACTAATAAACAAATCTGAATCATTGCGGCCAAAAATTTTAAAAATTACCAAGTTTAGTTTGGCCTAACTAAAAAAAATTATGTTCGTTTTTGGGTATATAACAACCAATGCATAAACACAGTGGCACCAATACGAAATTTGATCCATTAGTGGAACCCATTCAAACAAGTTTTAAAGAATTGTTGGTGCATAGAAACTATCTCTAAAATTTGCTGTATTACACTGTATGGATCAGGTATAATTAATGTCGATTTATCGAAAAATATATGTATATTTGTCGCTCACATTTTTGTTAAATGCCCAGCCGAGCTGTTTGTTGTTGTTGCACAAATAGAAGGGCGTACAGTTTTATATCTTTGCCGAATTGTTTTTTAAAAGCTTCTTTTATGAGAGGCCAGTTCAATTAAAAAATGTTTCTTGTAGTTATGGGATGCTGCACAGACTAGGGATCGAATCTGTGTCCTACCGTGTGTTCGTATTAACCTCTAGCCACTAAGCTACCGCGCCTGAGTCAGATTTATCTGTAGCAGTGGGTTTTAAATTTGTTCATTCCATTTCCAATCAATAGAATTTAAACCTATTAAGAATGCCTTACGTATGTATGAACACATTAAATTAAAAGCATCTCATTAATTTTACTAAATTTCTTACCCCACTATGCAAAGTATTGCTGCCATTAAATGTGTCCTGGCGCTTGGTTCATAGTCGATGCGTGTTAGTTTCGTGACATGACATGCTGGACATGAAACAATGGTTGGCTCTGGTCCCAAGGGCAAAATGGCATGTTCTGAAAAAGTATGAGACAGAAAAAATTATTTGAAACATGTTCACATAGCTAGCTACTTAAAAAGTGCTTATGTTCATATGTGCATATAAAGATGCACATACCTATTAAGGTGGTCCAAGAATGCAATTGAAAAAGTAAAGTCAGAATTTTTATGCTTTCATCCCCTAGGATTGTTCTGCACCGAAAAAATATAACCTTTCTTTACTTTGAAATCACAGCGCCCAAAGTTTACCATTTTTTCATCGCAACTATAATTTATTGGTCCGCCAAAATCTCACAAAAATCCCGAAAAATGCAATAGGGGGACCAATAAAAACCGTTAGAATTAAAAAATGGTTAAATAAACAATTGGGTATTATTATTGAAAGTCTCCAGAAGAGAACCAGAGTTTTCCGATTGAAAAATATTGATTCTTAAGAGATCTATACCATTTCTTGGAAAAATTTTTTTTTTCCCCATATAAAAATACATGGAAAACTTTGAGTGCTTTGAGCGACCTCTAAATATTTTTTGATTTCAAAATAAAAAAAAGAGGAATACTTTTTTTGATATAGAACCATCCTAGGGGGTGAGAGCATTACAATTCCGATTTTACTGTTTTTGGACCATCCAAACGCACATACATACATATTGCCCATTTGCTGCAAAAGTGTCATAATCCAAAAAATCTAAACTCGAAAAAAGTCTTTAAAGTTAACAGTTTACATACGCATCGATGCAGCTGTGCAATTTTTTTATTTATTTTTTTATGTATGTTATCGCATAACTTTGCACCAAGTCAACCGATTTCGATAACTCTTTTTGCAACGGAAAGGTAGTGTCTCAGAGGTGGTCCCGTACTAATTTGGTTTAGATCCGATAATTGAATCATGAAATATATAGATATATTGGTCGTTAGTAGTTAGTTTTAAGTCGGGTCTTTTTTTGCTAAAAATTACTTGTATTTAACTACACTTATATGTATGTATGTATGTATGTATGTATGTATCTTTGTATGTCCTGGAACTTTGCAGTCAATATTTAACAACTCGAGGACAATGCAATATAAAAGATGACTTAATCCGCTAGGTAGCGCAGGAGTCGAGATATTAGTAAAACCCGCATTTATAGTCTGATTTGGTTCATATTTATAACATATATTACTTATATGAAAAGAAATAAGTCCGAAAAATATTTGCCGATAGGTGGCGCAGGAGTCGAGATATGTGTAAAACCCCTATTTATAGTCTGACGTGGTTCATATTTAGAACATATATTACTTGTATGAAAAGAAATAAATCCACAAAAAATGTTGATGATAGGTGGCGCAGGAGTCGAGATACTTGTAAAACCCGTGTTTATGATCCGATTAAGTTCACATTTAGAATGCATTTGCTTACATAAAAGAAATAACTACACAAAAAATTTTGGCAGTTATGTGGTGCGTGAGTCTATATATAAAAAAAAAATCGGCATCTGTGCTCCGATTTGGTCTATATTCAGAATATGTGCATTACCTATTTTAATTGAAATATATTGAAAATTTTGTTTGTTACGGTCAAATCTAGCACGTTAGGTAAAAAATGTATTTTATACTATAGTTAAAAAACTAAAAAACACGCTTTTATTACAACAAGAACTAAAAAGTATAAAATAATGGATATATATAGCGATTCCGTTTAAGAAGAATAGGAAGTTCCCTAACTTGATTTATTTTAACTTTTTAAATCAGCTAAAAATATGATTAAAGTGATTGGCCCGTAGTCATAGACAAAATAAACTCCACTGTAAAGTTTGTTGCAGTTTTTTTTTACAGATATCCCATTGAAAATTAAGTCAAAAATCTGCAACTAACTTTACTGTGGAGTTTATTTTGTCTATGAATAAGGGCCAATCACTTTAATCATATTTTTAGCTGATTTAAAAAAGTTAAATTAAATCAAGTCAGGGAACTTCCTATTCTTCTTAAACGGAATTGTTTATTGTTTTGGATTATGACACTCAGCAAAGGTACGATATATACTTCCATATCTTCTCCATTGCAAGCATATTTCGAGTACGAGTAGTTACGAGTAGCCAAACAACGTTAATGTTCAAGAATTTCG